CTTCTTAACCCCTCAGATATTTTGAACATCAGTAACATTTTAAAGTGAATGTTTCATGTAACAGTGTCGGACAATACGTATGTTTTTGTATAAGAAATTTGCTATGCAGACCTTGCAAAAATGTTTGCAGGCTAAAAACGATAACTTTCCAACCGTAACAAAATAGTCAAAATCACACATATTGATTTGTTGTATTAAAATAATTTCTCAGATCTGGGTTAGCAAATCTGGCTAAAAGAACCAATAAGTTCATGCCATGCTGATGTGTCCACAGTCCATCTGTCCATAATTCACAAGATTTTCTTTTCCTCCTACAGTAACAGATTTAAGCAAATTCTCACTGATCACCTAAGGGTTCTTCACCCAAATTGTGCTCATTTGTTAGTTTACAGGCAATAACCTGAGAGTTGTAACTGATCATTAGACGTATGACCTATGACTGTTCTGGGTTATCTTACCTGAATATACCCAAACAGGCATGTGAATTTAAAGCTTGAGACATGTTAGTAGACTGGCATTTAAGTTTTTTTGCTAACCTTTAACCTTCTGCCATCATACTCATTGCCAGATTATTCTGCTGTGATACAGAAAGCTGAGCAGCCACTTCGATGGCCTTTATTAGGCTAACATGGTACCTTGCAAACTAGCTTTGTTTATTTCTGAAAAGTTGTTTTACTTTAGGTTTATGGTTTCTATTTTTTCTCGCCCGATGTGAGTTTGTTTGTATCGGTTTAGATGGATAATGTAATGCTTAATTTTACCTGCTGAGCCATGTTTTTTCCCCCCTCTTATAGGTGCGGATTGAGACGGCTACAACTCTTAAACTCAATATCCTTTTGATAGGCCTATTTGAAAATAAGGGTCGTTAACTTCAGCAGCACATGAATTTATCATTCTTTTGAGTGTTATTGTAAACTGACTGCGACCTTGCAAAAGCAAATGTACAATGGTTGAGTGTATCTTGGTGAATTGCTTTAACATCTGTCTACCCTAAAGTTTGACTTCTTCTTTAACTCATGATCACCTGTCGATGACTTTGAGTTCCGGACAGAACAATTCCTTCCAGTGAGTACAAGTTTCTGAAATTCAAGTTTTAGAAAACACCAAAAAAGGTTTTTTAGACATCAGTATTTATGTCTGACATTTTAAATTCTGTCTCCCTGTTTAGTATCTTGAGTCCATCTTTGGGCTGCTCTTCCAGTTGTTGCAGCAGGTAACAGAGTGCGACACTAAAATGCAGGTGCTCCATGTCATCTCCTGCGTCATCGAGAGAGTAGGCATCCAGGTAAGATGTTTGATATCAGATAGAAGTTTTCCTTAAGCAATATGCATCTTTATATTACTGCACGATGACATTTACGGTATGAAAAGTTGAGGCAAACTCCAAAGTGTCTTTGAAGGAGCCCTTGTGTTCGACATCTGAAAAGATATATTCTGGCAGTGCTCTTTGAAGTGTAACTCCACAAATTGTACTTATTGACTTGGACTCTGCAGGGGACATGTGAAGCTGTTAAAAAACATCAAATCACAGATACAAATCACCAGTCACCTTGTACTATACCCACACCACCAAGGTAAAACGGCCATCTGTCTTAAAAGATAAAGCCCAAATCTTGATTCTTTGTAAATCACAAAGCCTCAAGCAGCGCTTGTTCTGATGTCTGCTCTCATTTACAATGAAGATACAGTCTCTCCTCTGCCACTGCAATGCTTTTGTAACCATATGGATTAGATTTTTTGAGCATCCATTAAGTTGTTTTAATCCATTTAACTGCCAGCCCTGGGAAAAAAATGCCTTTCCTTTTGACCCCCCTACGTTCTATTCAGATCCATTTTAAGTGCCATCCCTTAAATAATTCCTTGACTTAAATCTGTCACAAAAATGGCTTTTATCCTAGCAAACTGTCAATCAGGTTAAGACTTCCCCCAGTCACTGGTCTTGGCTAAACTTCTAATGTCACTGGAAATCCCATTAATATTCTAACCGTTCTCATGAGGGATTTTGAACCCGCAAAGAGTGGCAGCAGTTGAGGAACTAGGCAATGAAACCACGACTATGGGTTGAGTTGAAATGAACATGATAACAGATATGAGATTTAGCTACTTTTTATGCTGTCAGTCTCACAAATGTCATCCTAGGGTGGTTTTGTGGGTCTGTTTTTCTCGCTTTTTATCTTTCTCCTCAAGGCTCCACAGCATTTTCTTTCTTTCTTTTACTGTTCTCTCTGCTCCTAGGTGGCTCCTCATAAAGGTGTAATCGAGCAAAAAAATCCCAGTGTGGGGTCTGCAGCTCGGCCACATAGCCACTATAGGGAATAGAAAGGGCTAGCACAAGTCAGTACAAGAAAAGGCAGAATAGTTTCTGTAGTTGTTAATTCAGTGCCATACTCAAATGTCCTGGAGTTGGCTGGCTGCAAAGTAACTGCACCTAAATTGCACAGTGTGCCATCACATTTTGTAATTTCACACAGGAATGACAGTGATGGCATCCAATTAGTCTCTAACTACCCAGATATTTACATGATTTAAACAAAAGATTTGATGTAATCTAAGAACGGAAATGGATATGATACCGTTTTGGTATTAGAACAGTGTTTTGTGAAGGATGATTGAAGACAGAAGTTTTTTCATGAACTGTGCATGTGTCATATCCTCTATAGTTTGGTAAAATGTAATGCCTTTGCTGCTGTGGAGCTACAGACACTGACAACATGTGTCAACAAAATTAGCTTCCATAAGAGGTTTTGCAGATTATGAAGTTGGCACATTTAATTTTCGCATTGCTGACAAACAGACTTAAAAGAAAAAAACATTATGAATTTTCACCTACCTGTCTAGTATTTTATGTACCCAGCTTTTCCTCTGAAATGTGTTTTGAAGTGACTGATTTGGGTTTCTAGGGAGGCCAGGGAGGATAAGAGGAAAGGGATCTCAATTTCTCACTTAAACACCCCCACCCCCCCCACCCCCCAAAAAAAAACTTTCTTATTGGATGGCTGTTTGTTTTTCTTATGCCAAGTTTGTATACAATATTAAGAAAATTTTGAGAGAAAATATGCCCGAGTAGTCTCAAAGTTTGTTTGGGCATGCAGTAAATATGCATAACACTTTGTTGAGACAGCAGCGAATCAGAATTCACCATTGTCGCTTTTTCTGCTCCCAAATGAGACTTTTAATTTCTGCAAATCCACGGGAGTCTGATGTGAATTGAACATGAGTTGCAACTGTTGTGAAACCTGCAACTTAAGTTGCAGAGCATTTTCTTTGCTTCTTATTTGCCATCTAATGTGATTCTTTTTCAGATACGGCCCTATGTAGGCTGTCTCGTTCAATACCTGCCTCTGCTCTGGAAGCAATCTGAAGAACACAACATGCTTCGGTGTGCCATACTAACTACACTTATCCAACTGGTACAGGTATGGTGCATCTCAAATTTACAATTTATTATTTTTGCATTAGTCGGTCCAGTTTTTGCAAATCGAGTATTCACACACTATTCAATTCAAATAAATTGAGTGAATTGACTGATTAGTATGAGGAGTCAAAATGTTAAACAACAAGTTGATCTGTCGTATCAACTTTACAGTGATTAAGTTTATAAGTGTGATTCACAGTTTTCTTAAAAAAACAACAACAGCACACACAAAAATCCAAAACATCAGGATTGACCAAATTTCAGTTTAGTCGTGGATTTCACAATCCCCAGAGCTTTAATCCTTGTTGTAGGTACACATTCTCAAGATCCTTTCAAAACACTCTTGGCAAAAATCTCAATATTAATATTCAGTGGTCTGTTGTTTAATTTCCCAAAGGACCCCAGGGTCACAGCTGGTGCCTCTTTCAAATAATTAATTACATTTCAACTATGAGCAGAGTCAAAGTCAGAAGATATCCACCTGATTTTGATTATTATTAGAATTAAAGATATCAGGAGATAATAGGAGTTGTGGGTTGTGAGAATTAAGCTGCAGATTGCAAATATCTGCAACTTAATTTGGAGATATCAGTAATGAGAAACCCCATAAACTTAAATAGTGAGAAGAACATTTGTCCCAAGAAGAATGCTGTTATGGACTGAAGGTGCTTATCTCAGACTTGAATAAGATTTGGACCCCTGTGTGGCTGCATTAGCTCATGGTGGGAAATGAAATGCCTGGTGATACAAACATGTTTCCTCTGGGAGAGTAACAAGAGTACACATCTGGCAAACGAAATGAAAATCTGCAGCTGAAGGGCCTTAGATTATCTAACTGTGTTGCCACATGCTAATTTCTTTTTTTTCATTTAATACATGCAGAAAAATGTTAATCTTTAAAAGTTAAAATGTAAGGTACAGCAGAGTATCTTGTGTTATTAACCCTTTTGTACCTGGACCTGTCCTAATGTACCCAGTCCTGTACCTGCAAAGAAGTGTGTATGGATTGTTTGGCTTAGGACCAGCTGGAACTGGCACAACCAACTCATGCCCGTCAGTGATCCAACGGCATAATAGCCGGCGTATTGGCTTACTTGCTTTTAAACTTCAGTTTTGCCTGTAGGAGGGTTTTTTTTTTTGTTGTTGTTTGTTTGATGGAGAGAGAAGGGTTGCACCATCTGGGGATTGAGAAATGCTGTCTTCGTTTTACACCCACATAAATGTAAGAGATCGCATATTTAGACCAAATTAATGTCATGCTATCAGTAAAACAGTGCTGACAGATCTGGAATGCTACTTTGGATCCTGTCGTCCTTCACACAGATTATTCCCCTGCTACACGCACAGAGTCATTTTTCAGCACTTCTGAAGACTTTTAAGATGTATTCTAACCATAACCAGTACTTGCCTAATCTTAACAGTTACTTTAAGCTTGCGATAATCCTAACTTTACCACAACCTCATGCTAAGTCAGGCTCTTCGTATTTGATCTTTTTTTATGCGGAGTTGCTTTTTAACTGCATAAAAGGAGCTGACACCCCCAAAGTGGGACTGTGTCCAAGCACTTAGCATCATCAACAGCATCTTTCCCTTATTCCTCTTCCAAATGATCTTGTGTTCTCTATAAATACACAGAGTGGATGTGTAAAGCTTAAAGTGATAGAGTGCTTTAAAAGGCCATGGTGTCAGATAGTGGTTAAGTTTTCATCAAGAGGAGTTTGTGTGTATGTGTGAAGAAAGATGGAAGTGAGGTATCAAGGGTGAGAAATGCTTCAGAGGGCATAATCCATAATTTAGAACAATCGTGTTTGTTGGCACTATAATTGGTAACTTTGAGTGCTTGACTTGTGTGTTTGTGTGTATTCTGATTTATGTAAGTATTTATTTTTTTGCTGTGTGTGCGTGTTTGTGTACTTGTCTGACTGTGCTGACAGTTTTGCTTAAAGGAAGGTTGTCTTTTGCCTTTTATGAAACAAACTTTGAACTGAATTTGGATGACTTTTTTCTTGTCAGTTCAATAACCGTGTTATTGTTTGAAGTCACTCAGACAGTGTATTCACATATATACTTACATATATACACACACGCACACAGAGATAAGGGCTGTTGACGTTAATGTGATAATAACATGTTGATGCAGACAATGCTGGACAGTTTTAAACTGAGGCGCCTCAACAATCGAAAACAAGGGACAAACTTTCAACAGCCATAGCTACATGGGTGGCTATGTCTTGCAGGCAGTTATATTGTGAGGAAGTATATGCTTAAGTCTACTTTTGGCATATTTTTTTGAGCATGCAGTACCCTTGAGATTTTTCTGGAGAATATTCTGAGCAGTATTACATAAATATACATGTGACTAAAGCAGGTCTGTTTGTCCACCTCCGTGCTGATATTGAAATGTGAAAAAAATATTAAGGTGCATTTAGAAAAGATAAAGAAATCTGTGATTAATTTATGATTAGTCTCGAGCTAACTGTAGGGAATCACGCGATTAATTGCGATTAAATATTTAAACTGTCAGCAGAGGGAGAAGGCTGTAGTGATAGATGTATCACTCCCAAGTGCTAGCCAACATCAGGAAGAAAGAACATGAGAACCTTGTGATTTACCAAGGGCTGAGAGAGGAGCTAGAGAAGATGTGGAAGGAGAATGTAATAGTGGTCCTGCGATAATCGGAGCACTCAGGGCAGTGATCTCCAAACTGGACAAATGGCTCCAGCAGATCCCAAGAACCACATCTGAGATTCGTCCAGAAGAACACAGCTTAGGAAAGGCAAAGATAATTCGCAGGACCCTGAAGCTCCCAGGCCTCTGGTAGATGGCCCAAGTTTGAAAGATAAAGACTGCAGGGGTTTGCTTATTGAAACGATGCCAGCTTTAGATGGTTCAACTAAATATTGACATGTGTGACTTTTTTGGCCAGGAAAGTGTACAGGGAATCTGCTTTTTTTTTTTTTTTTTTTTTTTTTTTAATAATTTGAAAATGCAAACTCTCTTTCTCTGTGATATGTTGAGTGAAGCATTCAGTTTAGCTATTTCAATTATACTATGTGTTGCCAAATTGATATAGTCTATAGCCTGGTTGAAACATTAATCAAATGGTTGGTCATACTCTGGATATGTTGCTGTTGCATTTGACCCAAACACATCTGGAAAAAGGGATGCAGAATCTTTACTAGATGACCAGATTTTACTCCAGAAACAATAACAACACTAACAATCATGTAGAGCTGAATGTGTGTTGAGCTGTGTCCTTTCTTACAGTCAAATCCAGCATTATAGCTGCGGTAATGTACCTTGAAATATGAGTTTGGTTTTAAAGTCTTCATCTTTGCTTCCAGTAGCACTGTTTTATGCCCCCTATTAGTTAAAAGCAGTGCGATACTATTGAGGTCAAAATGACACACTACTCGGTTGCTCATTCCCCTTTTCTGTGTTACAGTATGGCCACATACAGATGTCCAGTGCATTAGTAACAAAGGGCTTGTGAAGTACACTTTGCCAAGAAAAAAATCTCCCAAGGGGAAGTTGCGTCATTTCTTACTCTTGTGTCAGCTTAAACATCATTAAAATCTAAACGACCAAGAAACGACCTCTGACTTAGTTCCAGGACATGCTTTTTTCCCAGAAATCGAACTTAATAGGTCCATAGTGTTTTAAAGGGATATAAAGTGAGGATTTTAAAAAATAAATCCATAAACAACTCTTGCACCCTAAGGCAAGTATTTTGCAGCCAAAGAAACATTCTGTGCTTACAAAGAGCTTCCTCCCTGTTAACCTGATTCACTGAGGTATGGTCTTTCACTAGTTGCTGGGGAAGGGTGTGTCAGGTTTTGGATAAGCCGATGTGTCTCTATTCCACACCATTCTGCTAAAGTTATCTGCAAGGAAAACCCATTAAACTGAAGCACACAAACTGACTTCCTGTATCTTTGTGTTCTCACAGGGCCTCGGGGCAGAAAGCAAGAACCTGTACCCTTTTCTTCTTCCTGTCATCCAGTTGAGCACTGATGTTTCGCAGCCGCCACATGTGTATTTGCTGGAGGATGGGCTGGAGCTTTGGTATAGAGGCATATGCAGTACTCTAACATTTATGACTTGTACACACTCCCATCAGGACACTAGATACTTTGGATATAGCTGTCTTTGTCGCTCTATTTCACCGGAGTCCTTTTCTCATGTTAAACATCAGCCTCATTTACTGACTCTCAGTTTTCTTTTTCAAAGGCATCCATTCTTGAGTTAAATGCAGGTGTTGTTAATTCATGCAGCTCAACCACAATCTTAACTTTATCTTAATATTTGGGAATCTACCATTTTAATGAAGGTGCCTGCTACAGTACACTATGTTCACTTTTGAAAATGCATTACCTCCAAAAGGTTCAGTTCAGCAGAAGAGAATTTGTCAGGGTTACCCTATATTGCTCTTTTATCATCCATTTGCTTTTTAACGTCCTACTTAATCTCTCTTTTCCTGTCTGCCGCGCTGGAGAGCTTCACTGTTCAGCATTCAGCATGCCTTGTCTGTCTTGCAGTAGAAACCCTCAGTCTTATATCTATTTTCCTATCTTTTAGTCTACTTGATAAACAGTGGTGCCCTATATATTTGTTTGCTTGGTTTACAGTCGAAATTGGGTTGTTTTGTTGTTGTTGTTTTTTGGTTTTTTTTGTTTGCTTCTAAGGTTATGTTGTGCTTATAATATCCTGATGATGTGTCAATAACACATTTAGTAAGCTACAAATGTGAATGAACTGTGTATTCAAACATTTTCTTTTTAGATGCCTAATATTAGTTCTTTTTATATAGACTACAACTTCCATTTCAATTTGCTTAGTGGACTTCATTTATAGCCAAAATTTAGCCATTCGATGTTGCTTTTATGATATTTTGTCTTTTTCTTTGTACACAACCTTCATAATTCCTTGTTTTTCCTCCGTTTTAAATCCCCGTGACCTTCTTTCTCTTCCTGTAATATTTGTCGTGTTGCTGTTTCTCATCCCATGTTCTTTTGCCATCTCTAATCTAATGAACATCTCTTTTGTTACTTCTTGTTTTTTTTTCTCTTTCTCTCTCATCTCATTACTTTGCCCTTGTCTGCCTCTCATCATCATGTCATCATGCAGGTTGGTGACTTTGGAGAACAGTCCAGCCATCACTCCAGAGCTGCTCAGAATTTTCCAGAACATGTCAGCTTTGCTAGGTGAGCTCACATGATGTTTCTTTGTTTGCTGGTTTGCCTGGCCTGGTTTATGACCACACACAAACTCCCCAAAATAACTTAATGGCATTTTATATGCAGATCACAGTATTGTTTAGAAAGGAAGCTGTCACAATAATATGAAGAATAATGTGACTATAATGCATTTTAGAGTGTGTTTCCTGTATAATGGTTATATTTATTTGTATATGTGTTGTTATGAAGAGAGAGACAAAAAATATTTCACTCCAGAAATGGTCATAACAGTGATGTAAAATTGCTGCACAATCCCCCCCAAAACAAGCCAGTGTTGTCAGATCAAATAGTTGAGAATCACAGAGAATGGGGAAGGTTGATGCAATCCATGACCGTGGACTTAATTTTCATAGTTTCATTACCTCAGGCTATTGTAGCTTGTAAAGAGTTGCGGCTTTGCAGTTGCCTCAAGGCATCAGAGTCACTACTCTTGGTCTGTAGGCAGCTGTGAGGGGTGGCAGACTGAATAGAACTGGCTGGATGATTTATCACGGGCCCACGGCACTGGGACACACCTCACATGTTCTACTCTGTAGTGGTGTATGTGTGTGGCCTTGCGTGCGATGAGGAATAGTATTGATTTAGTGCTTCTGCACATAACGAGTGATATGACCACTAGTGTAGCTTGATTGGCTTGGTGGAGCATTTGATCACTTACAGTGTGGCTGGGGAATCATGAGACAAGAGCAAAGGACTCGGGTTGACAGTTATGGATTGATGTATTAGAGGATGAGGGAATTAGAGAGGATGAGGAAAGGGGAAAGCTTGATAAAAGTTGGCATGGAGGTGGTGAATGAAAAGGAATTATTTAAAAGTGATTGCTGGAAAATTCATAAAGAGAAAGTCACATAAAAGAAAGTTTGTGCATTGGAGGAGCGTGGACATGGATGAAAGATAAGAGACGGCCTTATCTAGTGCTGAACAGAAACAGGAAACCAAGGAGATGAAAACGGCAGGAAAAGGGATGCTTTTTTTTTTTTTTTTTTTTGCAAGGCATCACTGCTAGTTATGTTAAATTTTAGACCAATCACAGAAAATTACAGAGAGGTGGCAGGAAGGTGACAAAAACAACTACTGTTGCCAAGAAACCAAAAAAGAGAAGTGAAAAAGCATACCAAATCCTAGTGATAGAAAAACTGTTTTAAATTCAGATTAAAGTTTGTGGGTGATCACAATGAGTCCAATCATTCAGGAACATTTTCCTGAACATTTTTCAGCACAGAAGATGAACTAATAATGCAAATAACATTTATGCACTTGTAGAAGTCTTGACTGTGTGATTGAAAGACGTCAGCCCTGATTGCTTCCACTTGATTGACGAAGATCTGTCATATAATCAGCGCGTGCTGATCAGCTGCCATATTACTGGTTTAAGTGGGCTTAATGGGTGTATCGAAGGAGGGAAGACAGACTATAATATCGATAAGAGGGTGTCAGATTAAAGAACAGCAAAAAATTGAAGGTTTAATGGTGGGAAATGAGAGACAGATACACACGGACAGATAAGGTTGTGTAGAAATGGAGATTGACAGATGGAAGTGGAAACACAAATTCCAGGAGAAAAATTAGCTCAGTCATAAAGGTATATGAGAAAATGCTGTGATGGTTGTTAGAGAATTGTGGATGAATATGATTGTCATTGTGCAAAATGATTAGATCTTTAGCAAGATGATTAGATCTTTAGGATGAAGGCTGACTTCTGTTTCCTACACAGACACACATACACATATCACTGATCACAGCACATGCTCATAGACACATCAGGTGAGGAGCTTGCAGCTCCAAGATCCTGGTCCAATCAGCTCCCCTCGCAAGTTAAAATGGATTGAGCTCTGTCTTGCTTTGTTCACGGGAATAAGTCTCTAAACCAGCGCGGCCTGCGAAGCGCAGCCCTAACAATGGTATTCCACATTAGATGAAAGGTTTACTTTCACAATTCCATTCAGCACCATTTATCTCCCTAATATGCAGTTTAACTCATAAGGGCTCAAATGTGGGCTACAGCAATTAGTTTCAAATTAGGAAATTAATAGTCTATTTAGATAACAAATTGGTTATTAAAGTGATTTTGCAAGAAGAAATGCCATATTATATCATCTGTCCATCCTCCCAGTGATCCAACAGCAGCCTCATGTGTTAAAACGCTGAAAACAAATAATAATTCTTTCTCATCAGAGGCTGCAATAGAGAAACAATCTCTCTCCCTTAAGAATAGATCTTAATAGATTAAGAATAGATCCTGCTTTGCCAACATCCATCTTGGTCAATATAATGTGACTCATTTTGTGACCCAAATATGCTTATAATTATTCCCATTTTCTGTGTTTACTTCGGAGACCTTGCTCGCCTTTCTGTCAATATTTGGTTCAGTGATGATGAGTGCCACTTTACTCTGGCCATGCCAGACACATTAATGCAAGGAAAAGGAAAAAAGCTTTCACATTTCTGCAGGTACAAGGAAACTGGATTCCATTAGTATTAAAATAAATAAATAAATGAGGGGCAAATGCATTGTGTTTTTTTTTTTGGTTTTTTTTGTTTGTTTTTTGCTTTTTAAATACAAGTCATGTTTGTATATTCATAAAAAAGATCTGGGCTAAATCTTTGGAGTTTTCTATACGTATGTCTAATATCAAAAAGTGTTGGTAAGTTTCTAATCAATCATCTTTTCATGTTAAACTGCTTCTGTATCTAAAATAGATGCAGATTAGGTATTGATTTTGCACATATTAGCTGTTTTACTGTTTTGTCATATTAGGACTGATAATTCTTAACACAAGGGCTGTTTAATAGCTCTTATTAAGCTTTCAGCCACATCTCATTGACAACTTCTTTCTTCTTGCATCTGCTATGAGATAAAGGATCCAGTTTTTAGTCTTTCAGTCATGTCACGATTAAGCAATCTGAACTTGTTTTCTCTCTGTTGCTGTCTTTAAAGTCAAGAGTGATCAGTGGGCCTCAGTTAGTCAGGCCCCTGTTATCTTGGCTATTATCAAATTTTCAAAAACTCTTAACAAGCGCGCTGGTTTTAAGTACTTTGCCATCAGTAGATGTTTTCACTATTGTAGCATTTGTGCATGTGTGCCGCTATTTTAGGCTATGCTTGCTGCTACGTTAATGAGTCGAATAACCCAGATGATAAGACTTTAAAATTACTGCCACTTGTCAGCCCTAAGTACTTTCTCTACAGCTTGTTGCTGTCTCTGTCTTATGCTCTTGTGAAAATCAGTTTCTCCCAAGGTTATGTTTGCATGTTTAAAGCTCATTAATTGCATTCAATGTGCTTGTGAGTGCAAGTGTCAGATAGAAATTTCAAAGCTGCTATGTTCAAAGATGATAGCTCAGAGGTATGATCACAGGTTTGAACAAATCAGGAAACACTTTGAAAAGCTGTGATTTAACGCTGGGAAGAACAAGAAGTTAAATAGAGAAACATTTTTCCTTTAAAACATGCATTTATTTCCACATACCAATGACAAATCTTATACAAGAACTAAAGTTGCCTGTGTTTTGTAATCTATCTCTTTCATCAGTCTTCAGCTAGTCATCATCTTTGGCTAGTTTTCACTAGAACATCTGGTGGTTCATTTATTTTGCCCATGGAGAGCAATGGAGGGATGTGGGCCATTGAGATAGTCTGGCTCACTAGGATGTTGGAGCTTGCCAGGTATGTGGCCTGGCCTGCCTGATAAAGAGCCCTGCTCCATCATTGCTGAACTGGAGGAGAAAATTCCCTAATTAGAATGTCAAGAGCCTTGCTTTGGCTAAATTGTTAGACTAGCACTACGCTCTGTATCACTGCCACCACACTCTGAACTAGGACACATTTCAACTGTGTGTGGTGCTCTGACTTGTGATGATGGAGCACAAGCACAGAAGTTTCTCTCTTCTCTCTTACTGGCTTTACACTGACTAATGTCAGCAAGAAATAGAGATAAGTAGCCATTTTAATGTACTTTGTCCCTTCAGTGTTGAGAAACTCAGCAGTTCAAAGTTTTGGTCGGAAACAAACACATTAGTGTTGTATTAATTAAAAATAAAAATTAAATTAAAAATAGATATAAAACAAATAGCTTTATTTTGGTCCAAATGGTCATCCAAAATTGTACGATGAGGCGTTGCAGTGTTTGCTTTTTGCCATCAATCGTTCCTGTGTAGATTGTCTCTAGGTGCTCCGATTTTATCCCACAGTCCAAAAACATGCATGTATTTAGTGATTCTAAACTGGCCGTAGGTCTTAGTGTGAGCATGAATGTTTCTGTCTCTCTGTGTTAGCCCTGTGATAGACTTGGTGTACCCTGTGTCCCTGTTTGTGACAGCCTGGATAGGCTCCAGCTCCCTTGCAAACCTAAATTGGATAAGCAGTAAAGAAAATAGATGGTTGCATTGAATTCTAAGATGATGAATGTACAGTTAGATCAGTGGTTCCCAAACTTTTTTTTTTGCTAGGCCCCCCTTTGTTTCACAAGATTTGTTTCAAAGGAGATTTTTGAAAACTCCTTTTTTGCGTTTACGTGTGGACGAGGAATACAGAGTTCGTCACACAACGTCAAAGGTATGTGCCTTTTTTCACGTCATGCTGTGCGCCACGTTATTGTTTACATGAGATGAATTGCAGAATGGCAGATAGAGACAAAATGCTATTAATCTGACTAACTGCAGGCTTTACACGCTTACATATACACACACAGTCAAAGGAGCTTGCAAAGAAAAGCGTCTGGACTTCTTTAAGTTACTTGAAGACGTTTCACCTCTCATCCGAGAAGCTTCTTCAAGTAACTTAAAGAAGTCCAGACGCTTTTCTTTGCAAGCTCCTTTGACTACGATGACCTGGATGACTGAGAACCTTCACAGACATATACACACACAGTTACTGTCCCTCTATTTACAAAGGCAGAGGCATCACGGTGTGATTATTTTACTGTAGTTGTTTTTTTCCTGTGTAATAATATTCAACATTGCTATCA